AAGCAACGATTATAAAATACAAACTGAACCTATGTCTGCCACTGCAGTTACTCAATAGAAACACTTAATGTAAATAGTTGTTCGAAGTCATTAAATTTCAACACAATCGCAGACTCAAAATTGAATATTATCACAATTTAAAGGAGCCTTTTAAAAAGTTAAGCAGCAACTGCACTTTTCACTTGAGTAAATATAATCCGAGAGTTTTGCATTTTTAAAGAGGTGCGGAACCATTTATATGCTGCCAACAATCGCAAATGAAGGGGTCGTTCTCACAAACACCAACACTCGCCATGGCGCGCACTTGCGCGACAACGCCGATAACGCCGTTCCATTCAGCCGTCTGTGGTCGCTGCAGACATCGGTCATTTGAAAGGTGTCTTTTATTCACCTGGGTCCAATTCCGTTTTGACATGCTGAAGTACATGACGTGCCAAGTATTTAATTTCATTTATATATATAAAAAAAAGCCACCACCAGCTCCAATTGAACGATTGGCTCGTGCACCTGGACATTGAACATTGTTGTATATTGAACATTGGTGCATATTGAACATTGGTGTATATTGAACATTGGTGTATATTGAACATTGGTGTATATTGAGACGATGGCCTTGCCAGACACTCATTTCATAAAATGTCAGTGAGCGAAACTCGTGGCAATTTACCATTCTCACTTCATGGATTATAATTGCAACCTTTTACCATTTTGCAAAAAAAAAAATCAGTGAATCGCCATTTATTTAAATAGCAACTTCATAAACATTTCAATGTCTGGAAATGTGCAAATGTCTACTTGTGATATACCAGGGTTTTTTTTATTATCAAATGCTCTGACTACTACTAACACAATGTGCTATGATCAGCAGGGTTAGTTTAACTACTTAGCAATACATTTAAATCCCAACATTTTACATTCGCTAAAAAGCAGCACAATACAACGCAAATTTACTCAATGGCAGCACTTTCAATGTTTAACTTATATCTTGCCCTTTTGGAAAAAGTTAAGCTAAACAAATGTAAGCATAGACATATAAACTAACAATTCGGTGTCTGTGCCAAGGAATTTTACAGCCAAGAGCATGATAAATGAAATGTGGCCGATTCTCTAAACAGACTGCTTGCATATATTGTGCATACAACTTATCCTGCTTAATGTCACAATGCTTAAGATGCCAACAAAGAGCACACTGGGCAGAGGCAACGCTGAAAGCATATGCGGCAATGCGCTCGAATGCTCGGGATGCCCTGCTTTGGTGCTTTCTCCCATTTGCACTTTTGCTGACATAAGCACTCAAAAATTTCAGCAGTAAGCAGGGTGGTTTTAAGAAAATTGACAGAACCAGTCATATTATTGGTTCTTTCGGTAAAAGTCACGTAGAAGGGAAATAATAAAATTATAAAAAAAATTTAACAATAAAATTCTCACGACGTTTCGATTGCAACACAAGCAATCATCATCGGGTGTGAAAACCACAGCAAGAAAATTTAGAAAAAACCGCCACTTTTTTCAACATTTTCTCGCATAAAACATACTGTTTCACACTCTTTGGTTCTTTCGGTAAAGTCACGTAGGTAGAAAATGAAACAGGTCACGTGACGTTTCGATCGCAACAACAAGCGGCCATCTCTCACCTGAATGCGGTCGCTTGTGTTGCGATCGAAATGTCGTGATCTATTAATTTTCTATCTACGTGACTTCACCGAAAGAACCAAAGAGTATGCATTCCTGTAGTCACGAACGCTTCAAAATTTATACCGTTTCATATTTGGGTTCATGTAAGGTAATATGAAATCAAAAAGAGGGGGTGTTGAATTTGCGAACTGTGAACCAAATCCTAGTTCATCTTCTTTGGTTCTTTCGGTAAAGTCACGTAGAATGAGAATGAAATAATAAATTGATAAAATAAAATAACACAATAAAATTCTCACGACGTTTCGGCCACAACACAAGCGGCCTTCATCAGGTGAAGGGATGAGACTGTCTGTCCAATTTATTATTTTATTCTCATTCTACGTGACTTTACCGAAAGAACCAAAGAAGATGAATCCTTGCAGTCACGAAAGCTTTAAATCGAAATCAAATCCTAGTTTTACAATTTTCCTTTGCGGATCACACATATGCCAATTGCGTCTTTTTTAAGGATGTAGCCCCCGCAGTGGGCAAGGGTTTCCCGTATTACATTAATGCTGTGTATATCAAGAGAAGACCAACCAGTGATGTGTTGCTCACTGTAACATATACGACACCTTTTTTAGTCGACCAAGAAGAACACAGCAAAAAAAAAACACGTGGTTATTCATTTTTAAACCCAACAAACTTCTAACATTAAATCCCTGGACTTAAATCTGTTGAAAATCGCATAGCCTTAGCCAGCATATCTTATACATATATAAAAGGGAAATTTGTGAATATGTGTGTCTGTTCGGAATGTTTAGCATACTTCACAACATGCAACACACTTGAAATTTGGCATCTGGGTAGCTTCCAGACTGGACACAATGGTAAAAGTCTAAAAGTAGACTTTTGTATTTTGGGGGGAGGGGGGCGCAATAATGGATATAATATTTTGCACGGCAAGTGAGCGGTGACGTCACATCTGTGATGTCACCCGCATGCGGCAGCGTCACGCAGTGTGCCTGCTGACGTCACGCACCCCCCCTCCCCCACTCCGCGTAGGCCGTGTATTAAACCAAGACAAGAATCCAAGTCTCGGGCGAAACCGGGTAGTAAAGCTAGTAGGATATGTGCTGAACAATTACCCTTTGAAAGCTACACGATTACAAACCCTGCATCTGTTGTCAGTCCTAATTGCAGTTTTGCACTGATATTGACAGTTTCACGCTAGTGGGGGGGGAAAAAAATAAACAACAAAGCAATCACATCTATGTTTTGTTATGTCCCCCATCGTGACCAACAACATTTGCAGGGATGAAGCCATAACCAGTCCCTACACGGCAAAACGTATTAAAGGATAATGATGCAAATTTCTCTTTTACCAAGTTGGCAAGTGGGATTGCGTTATAAGACATTATATATATTCATATTTTCTAAGATAAATTATTAGGTAGCATTGTTTGTGAAAATGTAAGCACGTGCTAACTACAACCACTTGCCTCGACCATTTGTAAAAGGCTAAACGTTTGTGTACTGGCAAACTCAGTAAATACCACAGTAATGTAATAATTTCAAAGTTGTAACGTGCCGCACAATATTCGCTCACTCTTTAAGAAAGAAGGCGTGATACTACCGCCTCTCCTGTTCCCCCCTTCCCTGTCTCCCTTTTACTCCTTTATGTTTGTTATCATTCCCCACCTGAGTGGGGCAGAGAGCCCAAATCTCCCTCCCCCACCCCCCTCGTTAAGCCTTAGAGCAGCAAATTCGGGCTTTTGCTCACAGAGTTTCTGTTCTCCCCCGCCCCGCCCCTCGGCACCGTGACGGGTGCTTCGTACTGGGCTCGTGTTGAGTTGTAATAAACATTTTTTTTAAAAGACAGAAGGCGTGAGGAACCGCAGACAAGTGGGAAGGCAGCCGGGCGGTGAGCCGGCACCATCAATTGCTCGAAGCGCTGCCGTCGTCCATATATGTTAAGGTGTTGTTGCCCAATTAATGCGCGTTTACACGTGGGAGGAAACAGGAGCACCCGGAAGAAAACTCACGTGTGTGAGTGGGCTGCATTCGTACAGGTGGAACAGGTGGGAGTCCATATTTTTGCGGTACCGCTTTCTCCTGGAAAACCAGGATATGGCACTACGACATCCACAAACCCTTGCGTCCACAGTGTTGCATTATGGGCGTGCATCGCCGCGAGCGGCTCTTAACAGAAGAGACGGTACAAATTGAGTTGTACCTGCGGTGATTGCTACATCGGGGAGACAAAGCGACATGTCTCTGACCGAATTCGCGAGCACAAATCAGATTTGAAACGCGGCAAAACGAATTCTTCTGCCGTGGCTGATCACTGTTACAACGCTGTGGGTGATCACGATATAATTTTCTCCGATACCAAGGTTCTTTGCAAACCCATGGGCTTTTATCAGAGATTTGTTCATGAAGCAATTCAGATCTACAAACACAGACACAATTTCAACCGAGAAGATGGTTTCAAATTAAGCAACCATTGGAAAGATGTTCTAAATCGAACTAAACATTAAACTAATTTCAATGGTACAGTATATTTTTTCAAGTAGTGGTACCCCAAACTTTCGCAGCTCATATAAATTCCCTTTTCACACCATCAATAGGAAAACTCCCCCTCCCCCCCCGCGCTAAACGGCAAGTCCACCGGCACGTACACCACCTCTTTCCTAAAATCGGCCAATCAAATGCTAATTTTTATGCTAATTTCTTTGTCAAAACACCTTGTTTGCTCGCACACAGTTTAAAGGTCCGCTGTCTGAGCGTGGTTCTGTTTCGCTAAAGTCTCCTGTTTGATTAGTACTAGGTGCCTCGGTGAATGTATATGCTCTGACTTTAACATAGCTATTTCTGTGACCAGTTACAAGCTAATCACTCAGCTATTTCAATGCTAAATTCTATGCTAATTCCTTTGTCAAGGGATACCTCTGCGGATGTGTATATTTTAACTTAGCTATTTCAATGAGCCATTTCAATGCTAAATTATATGCTAATTCCTTTGTCAAGGGATACCTCTGCGGATGTGTATATTTTAACTTAGCTATTTCAATGAGCCATTTCAATGCTAAATTATATGCTAATTCCTTTATCAAGGCGCTTTGTTTTCTTCTCACACAGCTTAAAGGTCGTGATCTAAGCGTGGCTTCTCTCACTCCAGCGCTGTCCTCCAGACAGTCTCGTCCCTTCACCTGATGAAGGCCGCTTCTGTTGTGGCCGAAACGTCGTGATTTTTTGTTATTTTATTTTCACCTACGTGACTTTACCCAATAGAACCAAAGAGTATAGAAAAGACGGTACACATACGCGGATGGGTTTGAGGCGAGGCGGTGGTGTGGGTGTTGGCCATGGGTTGTGGCACTCACAGGTTGTAGAGCATGTCGGCCATGTTGCCGCGGTGGTGCAGGGCGTTGCGGTAGGCGTGCTCTGCCTCGGCCACCTTGCCCTGGCTCTTGAGCACGTTGCCCAGGTTCCCCCAGGCTGCTCGCACGCACGGCACACGTGAGGCAATCTCTCTCTCTCTCTCTCGTCATCGACCACGTCCCACACACCGCCAGCCTGCCCCCCCCACCCCGGCACCACCCCACCAGCTAATAGCCAGGCTGCAAGGTAATCTGCTGGCGACAATTCTATTTGAAAACCACGCCAAATAACGCGCTTCTACTCAAGTCCATTGAGGCCCTGAATCAGTGGTGGGAATTTCACATTCCTACGATGATGAGCCAGTCTCAGTAACGGGCGTGTGCATGAACAGCACTTTTACCGATCTACGTCCTGCTGGATGAGAGCCTCCTCCCCATGCTGTGTGGGCTGTGGTGGTCTGCTGACCATATTTCACGACGCTGGAACATGGTAGTTGGTGAAGGTGGGGAGCATATATGTTGGGGCGTAGAGATACAATACAACAATGTAATTTTATTTTAAAGAAGATTAACTTCTTTCGCACCCTTCGTGTCCAACCGTGCTCATCGGAGGTGCAGGGGAAGGACCACAAACTAAACACTAGTGTACTTTGATTGCTGCACTCTGACCACAGTCTCATGTCAGTGTCAATGGTTACTATATACATTCGTACTGGTAGGAACCTCCTGGTTACACCACCAGCCCACAGGGGATTATTGTGTCCGTCCGTCCGTCGTGCATCCAAAAATGGGAGGGGTGGGGCTGGGTGGAGAGGGTGGGGAGGGGCTGGGTGGGGAGGGTGGGGAGGGTGGGGAGGGGCTGGGTGGGGAGGGTGGGGAGGGTGGGGAGGGGCTGGGTGGGGAGGGGAGGGTGGGGAGGGGCTGGGTGGGGAGAGTGGGGCTGGGTGGGGAGAGTGGGGCTGGGTGGGGAGGGGCTGGTCACCCCGTGGTGCCCGCCCTCACAGTCGGGCATATTTGCGGAATGCACCACGCTGCCGCTGACCCTGGCCATTGACCGAGCAACCCAACGTTCCTACCAGCTCCCTCCGCAGGAATGTGTTAGTGAATGTTTAGAGAAGCTCCTGATTGTCACTAGCTCACCAGACCAGTCCTTATAATGATATTTCAAAATATATACATATTTATTTTATTTAAAAAACAAACATTTTGTTGCGTTTTAAGTTCACATATTTAGATTAGATTTCATTCATTGAATTGCATCTGATCAGCTGATAAGGTGAAGTACGGCTTATCAGTTACTCCAGCTTATCAGACGATCAGATGTAATTCAATAAATCGGATTTAATCTCACCACCAACCAGTATTTCATCCAAACAGAGGACTAGAGATGTAAATTCAACACTATAATTGATACACAATGCGAACATGTACATCTAGATGGAGAAAATAGTCTGCACAGTAATTTAAGGGCCGACAAAACCCTATTAGGACAAAAGATGAAATATGAAAATTAAAACGACACTGCATTTATTAAAAATGTCTGAATTACTCAATCAAGCTGGGAGATTAAATTGGATCATGATCATGAAGCTGACAAATTTAGCACGTATTAAATGTCTTGCTATTTAAGTTTGCCATATGTTTCACTTAAAATTGTTTAGAGCCTGTGACATCATTGAAAAGAGCAGGTCACTATTATGCCTGAACATTACACAATTCCCAAGTACAAAGGTTTAAAAGTACAACTAGATTATCATAATGAACATACCTGTGCATAAAATAATAAGAGTTCCACTGCTATCGCTTGTGAATATCTCTCCACTGGTCATCTGTGAAAAAGAGCTTTAGAGCTCATCGGATTCCTCCAGTATAAATATATATTCTGATTCTGAATAAGAAAATATCTTCACTGGGCTTCCACCTGGCTATGAAAAGGATAATAATGACTGGTGATGACCACAGATATTATTGCGAGGTTGAACTTGTTCCACTTTTTTGTTCCTAAACACTCCCCCACACTTAGACTCTCTCCCAGATGAAAGTGCAAGATCCACACCCACAAAAGCGCTGATACATAGCGTTGTGTAAAAGTAATTATATTCCGAAGCATAAACAATGTAGACAGATAGTTAGTTTATTTAAGTTCCGTGGACACTTAGACATGAAACTGATTTCCCCTTAATCACACAAACCCACAGGGTCCCTCCTCAGCCAATGAATACAGGCTGGCATGTCCGCATGTCAATTTCACGGCAGAAGAAAACACAAATTAATCACCGTCCACATTCCTCAATGAGGGGAGAGACCCATCCAAATGTTACTGCTTAAAACCTTTAAATCATTTCCTAAGCGCTTACACAATTGTTTGCTTGCGTTTTTATTTTTACTCCTTACTGTTATCCTTGTTCAATGGGATGAAAATAAACTCAAGCAAGTTGATTGTCAAACTCTTTACATAAATATATATACATAGCACTTATAATCAAATCGTGGTCTAAGTATGCACTTTCGCACTGAGGCAGCGGCTATCATGCACATCCCTTCGTCCGCATTCCTGCCCAGTGATTTGTTGGACTATGCTTTTAAACACGCAAAAGTTTGTTTTCCTTCTCTAATGGACAAAATGTGTCTCTTTGTTCTCTATTTCTGCTCCTAACACCTGCAGACGGAATGAGACCATTGATTTTCAGAGTGACCTCTCGTGCTGGCAGAGCAGCAGAGTGACGCCTCTGCCAGGGACTTCAGTCGACTTAAAATTGCATCATTCCAACAAAGACAAAGATCCCCCGTATAGCCTTAACATACTGCTGTGGCAAGTGCTGTTCGCAACCACCTATGAAGGCCGGCACGGCACACGAGGGGGTGGGTGGCCAGCACCACGCCCAACCGCCTTTGTCTCCCCAATGGCGATGTTTTTTTTTTTAACAGACGGGCGGCAAACCCCCGAGGCGCAGCGACAGCCCACGCGGGTGCACGCAGCAACGCACCTTTGGCAGGGTTGGTGGCGATGCCGGCGCGGTAGAGCGCCTCCTCGCTCGCCCAGTCGCGGTTGCGGTGCACGGTGCGCGCCGCGTGCACCGCCAGCAGCCCGCCGGTCACGGCGCCGAGCAGCACGCGCCGCAGCCTGCGCCGTCGCCGGCCACAACCGGGGGAGGGAGCGCCGCCGGCGCCGGCGGCGGAGGAGGAGGAGGAGGAGGAGGAGGCGGCGCCGCCGGCGTTCGCCAGTGCCCGGGCGCCGGCCGCCACCAGCAGGCAGTAGCCCATGCTGGGGATGTAGAGCACCCGCTCGGCCATCACGAAGCCCACGTAGAAGAAGAGGTTGGTGGCCGGCACGAAGGGCAGCACCAGCATCGCCAGCGACGCGATGGCCGCGTTGAGCGTCCGCTCCGAGCGGGGGCGCGGTGCCCGCCGGCCCTCGGGCCCTGCGGCGCCGTTGGACTTCCTGCCGCCGTTTTTCACGGCGGCGGTCGTGAGCGGAGGCGGCGATGGCGGCGGCGGCGGCGGCGGCGGCGGCGACGGAGGTGGCGGTGCACCGCCATTGGCGCTGCCGCCCCCATGCTCCGAGCAGCTAGCGCCGTTCGTTTTGCTCTTGTGCAATAGGGGCTGTCCGTCTCTGTGCGCGCGTTTTCTGTGCTGTGGACGCAAGCGTTTGGATGTTGGGAAAAAATATTTCATATATATATTAGAGGAGAAGTGTCTCTGATCAAAGGAGCAATGAGGCAGCACTCCTTTGCCGTCTTAAAATCCGTCTCATTAGCTTGCAGAATTCACCTATGCATGATTTGCCAACCCTGCCTGCAGGGTACTACTAAACTACTGGCTTCCAAACTGTTTTATCAATTTGTCCCAGAAAGTTGACATTTAAAGAAAGGGGCTTAGTAGGTCATTGTGGCTCCATCATCGAAATGGGGCATGAACACTACTGACGCAGCGCTGCCAAAACTCTAACAACACAAGGCACAACCCAAAAACACGTCAGAGCGCTATATAGCACAACCGCCTGGATTACTCAGAGCAATGATCGCCCCATGCCTGCAGGTTCAGGTGCTGAGTCACCTTGTGCCCCACAGGGGACAGCTGCCACTGGGGGTGCCCCCACAATGTTTGAGATGACATGCGATATGGGTCGCGTATCGCGCGTAAAGCAGTTTGAAATGGCCCGGCGTGAAAGGAACTTTATAAAAAAACAATCAAGATTACTCCTATCAGCAGTGAAACTATGCTCAATAAAGCGCAAGCTTATGCGCACAAACAAAGACAATTATCCCCTGTAGAGTCTTAACAGAACATGGGGGCTGTTAGTGAGCACCCATGAAGACTGGCATTTCACACAAAGCGGTGAGTGGCCAGGACCACGCCTGACGGCCTTTGAGGCTGAGTCGACCTAGGGGAGGCCCAGAACCGGCTCAGTTAATCGTCAATGGTGTTGGCCATTAGCAGGAATCAAACTCCTATCCCCAAGTTTGAAGCGCAGTGTGCTAACCACGACACCACCACTTCCCACACACACACAAAGACACATATATCCCCCGTATAGCCTTAACAAACTGTTGGGGCAAGTGCTGTTAGCGAGCACCTATGAAGACCGGTACGGCACAGACGGCTGCACAGGAGAGAGCGAGGGGGATGGACATTACCCTGAGGCCACGGAGGATGCACCACAGAAAGGCGGCCAGACCCAGGTAGAGGAGGCCGGTGGCAACGTTGCGGGGATCGCGCAGGGAGCGCACCAGCGGCACGGCGTCCATGGACCAGTCGAAGCTGAGCGTGGCCGGGCACAGCAGCAGTGCCACGTTGGCAGCCGGGAGGTAGTGGAAGGTGAGGGCCCGCGTGAGCGTGTCCGGTGAGTCAGCCGCTGGGTTGTCGGAGCCCGAGAAGCTCGGGGGACCGCCGCACATCCAGCGCAGGCGCAGGCCGAGGAGCAGCACGGAGCCCAGCGTCAGTGCGAGCAGCCCCTCTCGCTGGGCACCGTAGCCCCGCTGCGGGTTTACAGACAGACAGGGGTGGAGACATCGATGGGGATGTTAGCTACGAAGCTCTGCTCACATCCTCATTGCTAAAAAACTCACACAAGCACGCGTCGCCCTTTTGTCAACAGCGCTACGGGACGAGGGCACTCGCCTATGCACTGTGGGTTGTAGTGGCCATGTGTCCATGCTTCACCGTGCTGGGCAATGCGTGTAGGTGGAGGTGGACAGTACAGCAATGGGTTTTGCTTCGCTGCCCTGATTTGCTCACAACGTAGCGTCGCAGCAGCCAATGACATCCGTTGTGATTGTTGGTCGCCCATCCAAGTGATATCCAGACTCAACCCCACTTTCAAGATTTGACCAGTGTGATTTGGTCAGCGATGTTTACACACCGAGCCAGTTACTCATTTGAGGTTGAGTCAACCTAGCGATGGCCCAGGACCTCCAATTAGCATGGTTGGCTACATGCGGTTCGAAAGAACTTCAATACAGAAACACAATAATTATACTGTGCTTAGTTGAAGCAGGACAGCCTCACTGTGTCACAAGACCATTGGAGGATGGTCCCTGCCTAAAAGGGTATGCGCTGGCACTCAGCTTTATTGGCAGCCCTAAGCCAGGGGTGAAAGTCGACCCATCGGATAAACAACGTCCTACACTTAATCCTTGTTTGCCATCCGACCAAGTGGCACTGACGCAATAATTACAGCACAGACGAAGCCTGCATGTAATGTGTAGTTGTGCATTTGTAAATAAAATTTCCCGTTCAAACAATTTCAAACATCAAATTACAAGCCCTCACTTAAAATGTTTAACAACATGACACAATTTGGAGAGGGCAGGAGGGGAAACTGGCTGATATATGATCTCACTGGCATGAACAGAGATCACATGCTATGCACACTAGAATGCACAGACTTGTATATAAACAAATTTAGACCTCCATGACTGGTGCTTTTCAGAGGTCTGGGTCACCACGAGCTGCCTACGGTAAATTAGCCATAGTTATGCTTCATAGAGTTCAGTGGAAAAAAAAAAACCCAAACCGAGGAAACTTAATCGAGTCTTCTGAAGCAGTAGGAGAAACTACTGCCGCGGTGTAATGCCTCGCACTCTGAACCTGCGGCCCAGAGGTCACCGGTTCATTCTCCCGGCGAGGCCAATGAAACAATGTGCACGTTTGTTCAATTGCCCCCCCCCCCCCCACCACCCGTGTCCACCCAGCAGTATAAATGGTTACAGCACAGCGAATACCGAGGGATGTGCATATAGTGGGGGGTAAGGTGTGGGCATCACTCCTTTTATCCCCCAAGATCTTTGGCCAGCGTGGAGTCGTAGGCCAAACACCCTCTAGAGGCGCTACCTGGAGCTCCCTCTAGTGGACGCCCGTCCGCCAATGGTAGCGTTACAAAGTTGAACCTCTACATAGCATGCGAGCTGCATAGCTGCCTCGTTCTATATTTGCAAACGGAGCAATCCCTGTCGAAACAAAAAAAATATTACGTAGTATAGTACCATATTAGGATGGTATTTTCAATATTGAAGCAGATTTATCCTCTTGTAAAAATGAAGCAAGCGTAAAAAAAAAAGTATAGCAGAAAAAGCTGATCTAACCCGGCTATTACGGAATAGGCCCAGGTCGGTCATCTATCCAGCAATAACAAATCAATATGAAACATACACAGTCAACTATACCGTTCATCAGAGACACCACACATTACGTAATATGTCTCAGAATGGCAACGTCTATTTTAACCCAAAATGTAATATTTATTGCATGGGACAGGCCAGTTAAAATAACATCCATTATTATTTCGTCTGTGCTAAGGTCACATGTTGGTGCCGTGGTCAGAAGATGTGATAGGTTATGAGTTCAAATCCAAGCTAGGGGCCAAATCAGGCAATGTTTCCCTCGGCAATCAATAAAATGAATACCACATAATCCCAGCCATAGCACTAAAGGGTGTATACGACTTGCACAATGACACCAGTACATAGCAGCAGCATCTCGTGTTTGAGTAAAGAGATACCTTCATGCCACTCAGACTGAATTAATGTACAACAAATGGCTTCATCGTTTCATAAATCGGATGCGATGTTTTTGGAGCCAAAATGACAATAATAAAGACATGTCGGTGTTATTCTACTCATTAATGTTTTGGAAGGTGAAGGTGATGCTGATTACTTAAGCTTTCATCTATCACCTACTATAAATAATAATCATTATAAAACTATCAACAGACTTAACAAAAAAAGTAAGTGGAGATAGCTGTATATGTTACACTGGTCTACGATGTTTTAGACGTCGTCTGCTTTGAGAGACGAAATGTGCTGTTTATTTTGGATTTTGGTGTGCTGAATTTAAACGTGACAATAAAAACAACTGATTGGCTATTGTTCCCAAGCGATTTAAGTTTTTACATTTTAAGTCTATGTATATTGTGTAAATAGTAGAGTTTTACACATAAATTGTAAACCTAGGTCTTTTCATGTGTTCATGGTTGCTTTACATGATAACATGTCACCTGTCCTGTTCATGTAACACTTTAAAAAATCTTGAATTAAAACTTTCATGACTGCAGGAATTCATATTCTTGGTTCTTTCGGTAAAGTCACGTAAATAGAAAACAAAAAATAACAAAAATGGTTTATTTAAAATAATATAAAAATGATCAAATGAAATGAAAATAATAAAAAATAAAATAAAAAAATGAAAAAAATAAAAGCAAAAAACCTAACGACGTTTCGATCGCAACACAAGCAGTCTTCATCAGGCGGCCAGAAAAGAGGGGGAAAGCCTCCAAATGCAGCTGCTTATAAGGGTTCCAGAGTGAGTGGGCGGCGGTAAGGAGCTGCGGCGGTAAGGAGCTGCACAAGCGACGCGATCTGCGGCAGCACCGCCCTAATGCAGGGCGGAGGTGAACTTGTGCAGCGCAAACAGCATGGGCGTGGCAGCCAGTAGCAGCCAATGGGGGGGGGGGAGGAAGGGGGCAGAGACAGAGACAGGGGGAGAGAGAGGGGATGGGGAAGGGGGGTAGAGATGGGGGGGGGGGCATTGCACCTCGCCACACTCATCCACACTGCTGACGGTAGAGGTTGACAGGAAAACGCAAATCAAGTCATGACCCAAAGTGTTTGATGACATCTTTACAATGATTGCTTAGTTTAAAACCGTCGTCTCGGTTGAAATTGCGTCTCTGTGTCTGTATATATGAATGGCTTCGTGAACAAATCTTTGTTGATAGCCAGTCGGCTTGCAAAGTACCATCGTCTTAGAGAAATCAATTTCATGTGAGACAGCCGCATTAAAGTAATGATCAGCTACGGCAGAAGTACTGGTCATGCCATGTTTCAGATCTGCCTTATGTTCACGAACAAGGTCCGAGACATGTCATTTGGTTTCCCCAATGTAACTGCTGCCGCAGATACAGCTTAGTTTGTAGACGCCGGGATATTGCATGTCAGGAATCTTGTCCTTCACAGATGGGATCAGGTCACGAATTTTGTGCACTGTGTTAAATCGGACCTGGATCTTGTGTTTGTTCAAGATTACACAATCCGCAAAGCTATCACCCCAACCGTGAGGAAGGAGCCATCTGAAGATCCAATCAAAGCCATCACCTTACCTTACATAGCAGGGATAACCAAAAATATTTTTAAAACGATTATGTATATATAAGTACATAGTTTAGTCCTTATTCAGTGTCTCCTCGGTGCTTCTTGGCTTGTCTCTTGTATTCATTAAATTGAGCATCTCTTTTCACTGCCCAGCAATAGTCTGCAAGCATTGATGGGCTCCATTTGCCCTGATAGCGTTTCTCCATTGTTGCAATGTCCTGGGTGAAATCACTCACCACGCTCGTCGCTCACTGCTCCGCAGTTCGGTGGGAAAAAATCTAGATGAGGGTGGGAAAAAATCTCGATGAGAGTTCTAAAAAATGTATCTTTAGTGACATGTTGCAACCAAGGCTTTTGTATGCCTTGAGAAGGTTATCCACCAACTCCCTGTAGTTGTCTGACTTGTTGTTTCCGAGAAAATTTGTTGACATTAACTGGAAGACTTTCCATTCCATCTTTTCCTTGTCACGCACTGCACTGTCAAATTCATCATCTCGAAAAAGTTCACGAATCTGAGGATCAACAAAGACACCTTCCTTTATCTTCGCTTCGCTTAACCTTGTAAATTTTCCACGGAGGTACTTGAAAGCTGCTTGTGTTTTGTCCATGGCTTTGACAAAGTTCTTCATCAGACCCAGCTTGAAGTGTAAAGGTGGCAACAAAATCTTCCTTGGTTCAATAAGTGGTGGATGCTGAACACTTTTCCTCACAGGCTCCAATGACTGTCGGAGTGGCCAATGTATCTTGATGTAGTGGGAATCTATCACACGACTATCCCATTCGCAGAGAAAACAGCATACTTTTTAACCCCCCACCTGCGTACGTACGCTTGACGCACCCCCCACCCCCCGAATCCTATAGAACGGCCGATATTTAATTAACGCAGAAACGATCAAGGATTAATAATATTAACGTTTAAACAAAGAGATAGTCCACCGCCGGACTATCTAACTAATTTGAAGGCCAATGTAGACAAATTATTATCGAGGGTTCACCACGCCCCCCGCCCCGTTTCCTATGCGTACGTACATTGTCAGTAGGCCCCCCATACGCAAGCGTACGCATTTGGGTTAACCCCCCCTCCATGCCTCTAATAATGGATGGCCTCTAATAACAACAACAACAACCGTCCTTCGCCACTAAGTGGCAGTGATGTCACCACGGCGCATGTGCCAGGCTATGTGCACTTTAATAATAATAATAATGGGTTCTCAAGCATTCTCTTGTGTAGCTCCTCACTTGTGTAAAGTGCCTTTTAGATGCAGTTGTATTTAGATGCTATATGAATTCAAATTGTTTCCGTATTCAGTTCATGGTGTCAACTTGGTCACCAATGAATGCATGCATAATTTGTATAAACTCCAACTCTGAATGTTTAACAAAGAAATATA